TTCCACCCCCTAAAATCACTGACAGGTGGCACCATTGACTGATTACATCAATGTGTCTTACAATAAATGAATAAATAAATATCATTTTGAAAGAATATAAATCATTTGCATAAAGGAAGGAAATCTGGTCACAACATATTTGTGAGAAAGCATTTAGAGCTGCATTTTGATATTGTAATGTAACATAAATAGTTGTGGATTGGAGATGTAGTGCCTGGTGTAGTTCCTCCGTTACTATGGCATCAGTGTATTGAATCTGATCCTGGTGGTGTTCCTCCGTTACTATGGCATCAGTGTATTGAATCTGATCCTGGTGGTGTTCCTCCGTTACTATGGCATCAGTGTATTGAATCTGATCCTGGTGGTGTTCCTCCGTTACTATGGCATCAGTGTATTGAATCTGATCCTGGTGGTGTTCCTCCGTTACTATGGCATCAGTGTATTGAATCTGATCCTGGTGGTGTTCCTCCGTTACTATGGCATCAGTGTATTGAATCTGATCCTGGTGGTGTTCCTCCGTTACTATGGCATCGGTGTATTGAATCTGATCCTGGTGGTGTTCCTCCGTTACTATGGCATCGGTGTATTGAATCTGATCCTGGTGGTGTTCCTCCGTTACTATGGCATCAGTGTATTGAATCTGATCCCTTTATGCCTAGTATGTAAATTACTATCATCTTAGCAACTAAATGCACAGCTGGGGTAAGAAAAAACATTTACACTGAATATAAATATAAACGCAACATGCAACAATTTCTGAGAGTTACAGTTCATGTAAGGAAATCAGTCAATTGAAATAAATAAATTAGGCCCTAATCTATGGATTTCACATGACTGGGAGTACAGATATGCATCTGTTGGTCACAGATGCATCAAAAAAAAAGTACGGGCGTGGATCAGAAAACCAGTCAGTATCTGGTGTGACCACCATTTGCCTCATGCAGCGCGACACATCTCCTTCGCATAGAGTTGACCCGGCTGTTGATCGTGGCCTGTGGAATGTTGTCCCACTCCTCTTCAATGGGTGGGCGAAGTTACTGGATATTGGTGGGAACTGGAACACGCTGTCGTACACGTCGATCCAGAGCATCCCATACATGCTCAATGGGTAACATGTCTGGTGAGTATGCAGGCCATGGAAGAACTGCGTTATATTCAGCTTCCAGGAATTGTGTACAAATCTTTGCGAAATGGGGCCGTGCATTATCATGCTGAAACATGAGGTGATGGCGGCGGATGAATGGCACGACAATGGGCCTCAGGATCTCGTCACGGCATCTCTGTGCATTCAAATTGCCATCGATAAAATGCAATTGTGTTAGTTGTCCGTAGATTATGCCTGCCCATACCATAACCCCATCACCACCATGGGGCACTGTTCACAATGTTGACATCAGCAAAAAGCTCGCCCACACAACGCCATACACACTGTCTACCATCTGCCTGGTACAGTTTAAACTGGGATTAATCCGTGAAGAGCACATGTCTCCAGCGTGCCAGTGGCCATCGAAGGTGAGCATTTGCCCACTGAAGTCGGTTACGATGCCGAACTGCAGTCAGGTCGACCCTGGTAAGGATGGCGAGCACGCAGATGAGCTTCCCTGAGACGGTTTCTGACAGTTTGTGCAGAAATCCTTCTGTTGTGCTAACCCACAGTTTCATCAGCTGTCCGGGTGGCTGGTCTCAGACGATCCCGCAGGTGAAGAAGATGGATGTGGAGGTCCTGGGCTGGCGTGGTTACACGTGGTCTGCGGTTGTGAGGCCGGTTGGATGTACTGCCAAATTCTCTAAAATGACATCCCTATATTAGAAATTAACATTAAATTCTCTGGCAACAGCTCTGGTGGACATTCATGCAGTCAGCATGCCAATTGCACGCTCCCTCAAAACCTGAGACATTGTGTTGCGTGACAAAACTGCACATTTTAGAGTTGCCTTTTATTGTCCCCAGCACAAGGTGCAGCTGTGTAATGATCGTGCTGTTTAATCAGCTTCTTGATAAGCCACACCTGTCAGGTGGATGGATTATCTTGGCAAAGGAGAAATACTCACTAACAGGGATGTAAACAAATTTGTGCACAACATTTGAGAGAAATAAGCTTTTTGTGCATGTTACATTTCTGGGATCTTTTATTTCAGCTCATGAAACATGGGACCAACACTTTACATGTTGTGTTTATATTTTTGTTCAGTATAGATAAAATACAGAATTCTAAGTCATCAAAACATGGTACACGGTGTCACAGATTTGATTTGGTAGAAGAATACAACATCTAGGGACTCGAAAGACAGAAATGCACTTCCACTCTTTTTAGAGCTCACAGCTTTATTTAGCTTTTTCTTCCACTTGTCATCAATCTTTATCAAGCCAGGGAGTCCCCTCCCCCATCCTCAACCCGGCTGGTCTCCTGTTCCCTTTCGCACACAGCAGGTCACATTGTGGACCACCAGTCTTGTCACATGATGCACACACACACACACACACACACACACACACACACACACACACACACACATCTTTATAAAGGTCTTCCCTTACATTCAGAAGATGACATTGCAAAGTTGTCTATAATATGTCTGGGTCCGTTCTATTTCATACCCTCCACAGTTCTAGAATAGATGGTTAGTTCTAGAGAGTGGTCAGTTGGTCATTTGAGGAGACCTTGGAGCAGCCTGCTGGCCAAATTGTCCCTGGCAGGTAGGTACTGTAGGTCTACTCCAATAGTTAAGGTCTTGGGGTGATGTCAAAGTCTGTGATGCTTGCCAACAGACAGCTTGTCAGGTTGTTACATTGGAAGGAAGCATTAAGAAGAGGGGTTGGGTGGTGGGGGGGGTGGGGGGGTTTAGAAGCAAGCATAGAAGATGAAGAGTACATGGAGCCAGAGAAGGACAGAGCACTGTTGTAGCTGGGCGTCCTTTAAGGGCTAAGGCTTGGACTTCAGCACGGGGAGTAATAACACTCTGCTGCTGCAGACACACTTACTAAAAGCACAAAACGGACATCCAACAGATACCTACAGCGCTTCGCACTGAGGAGAAGGGGAGAAAGAGAGAGAGAGAGAGAGAGAGAGAGAGAGACACAGAGAGCGAGAGAGCGAGAGAGCGAGAGAGAGAGAGAGAGAGAGAGATGGAGAGAGAGAGAGAGAGAAAAAGCAAGGCCAAGCTTTTTTTGTTATATATAAAATAAAAGACGAAATGAAAGAAAACATTGGCTTCACAGTTAGACAAAAGGTGTGACATGTAATCTAGCAAATGTGAAAATGCTGTGGCATTCAACCCAATCGTCACCCCCTACTTTCTGAAGGCGTCATATTAAAACGCTGTGGCATTTAACCCAATGTCACCAACTTTCTGAAGGCTTCATCTCTCCACACTTTCAATGTGGTTCTGAAGAGGCAGGCAAGGTGAGGATTGCTTGTAAACTCACTCCAATGTAAAAAGAGTGGCCCGGAAACCCTTTAATTGAGACTGTAGGATGGTAACGATAGACCACTTTGAGGTCTCCCACCTCGGTCACAAATCAATTTGGCTCATCCTTCTGAAACCATACCGTAGGGCTTTAAAACACACTTTGCATAAATTATAATATAGGCATTTCAATTAAGCTATGTCAGAACTACGCTGCACGTAAAGCAATATTAAATGAAACAAAATTTAAAATTTTTTAAAAAAGAACTAGTCGTGTGTCTAGACTACAGTAACAATAAACCCACTGGTCCTTGTGTGTTCCACTGATTACAGTCCCCCTCCAATAATGGTCCAAAAAAAATAAAGTGTATTTCTTTAAAAGTCAAATCTATGCTTCAAAAAAGGACCACCAATACTTTCCTGAGGACCAAAGAGTTCATCCGTAAAATGGAACTGAAGTGTTTTGTTTTCAGAACGCAACAAACTGATGGGATAATAAATCTGTAACATTGTTCACTGTAGGAGTCGCAACAAGCACATGACAAATGATGTATATAAACCCTGGATTGCTGATGCTATGTATTGGCCAATGAAAGTCTTTGAAGCCGTCGGTCGGCCATATTGCCACTCCCCAGTAGCAGCAGTCCTCCATAGGAATGAATGGAATTCTACAGTATTTCAATTAAATGTTTCAAGGACAAAATTACATGTATTTAGGCATTTTTGTTGTTGTAGCGGGGACAGTAATATTAGAACTTTCAGAAAATTATACTTTGAGGAAAATGTTTTATTTGTACATTTTTATATTTAGCTCACATAATCTAATCTAAAAGTATGCATTAAGGTGTCTATAATATAATAAACGTGGCAAAAACTAGATGTAGACATTAACTAAATGCATTTCTATAACTTCCAAAATATATTTTTTTACAACGGTTGGGGAGTGCCAAATTGGAGGCACGTGGCTTCAACACAGCACAGTCATCTAGTGTATATATAAATCATTGCACATTTTGTTTAAAATTGCCCTCCTTTGTGGTGACACCTGGGGAGGGACGTTGGTAGAAACATTTCTCAGTCTGTATCCTAAATGGCACACTATTCCCTATATAAAATGTACTACTTTTTAACCAGGGCCCATTGGAAATACTCCCGCTGTTCCCACTACGTAGGAAATAGGGTGCCATTTGGGGACGCATCCTCAGTCACTGGTGTGTGGTCCCCGTGGCCGTTGAGTGACTACGACGAGGGGGGCTGTGAGGGCAAAATAACACAGTAGGGTATTCCATGTCTCCAACAGAGAGAGCGAGAGCGAGACACAGTGAATTCTCGTGGTGGTCAGAGCTACACTGGTTCAGATACAAAAGAAGTCGTCAAAACCCAAAAGAAAAAAGAAAAAAAAAAGGCAAAGAAAAAAATGTAACTTAAAAAGGGTTTGTGGGATTTCCATGAAGAAACATAAGTATTTTTTGAAAATCTCTGTTCTCTTCTTAAAGTCAAATAAATAGTTAGCTCCTTGGATTGGATTGGTGTGAGGGGGTTGGTGAACCAGTCCCATCCTGGATGCTCCTTGCTGTGTGTGTGTGTGTGTCTCAGCCCAGGCAGGGTCGTGTGGGCCCATATCTCTGGGCCAGTAGGAAGGCCTGTACCACCTCCTGTGTCTGCTGGGGACTAGTATTAACATCCTCCAGGGCATCTGCCACAGCAAACTGCCTGTCCCTGAGTCGGTTCCAGTTAGACAGAACGTTGTGGTACTCAAACACCTTCTCATAGTTCCCTACTGAGTTGTAGAGCTTGATCAGACCCCGGTAGTCATACTCCAGACCGCTGTAGCCCTCACCGAATAGTTTCTTACCTGACGGGAAAGATACACAGGTAAGAACAAACACAGAGATAAAGACCTAATACTCTAATGTCAAAAGTGGAAGAACAATTCTAACATTTATAAAAATAAAAATAAAACACTAGCTTGATTAGATAAGTATTCAACCCAGGAGTCACCTTTGGCAGCGATTACAGCAGTGAGTCTTTCTGGGTAAGTCTCTAGAGCTTTCCACACCTGGATCGTAAAATATTTGCCCATTATTCTTTTTAAATTCTTCAAGCTCTGTCAAGTTAGTTGCTGATCATTGCTAGACAGCTATTTTCAAGTCTTGCCATAGATTTTCAAGCCGATTTAAGTCAAAACTGTAACTAGGCCTCTCAGGAACATTCAACATCGTCTTGGTAAGCAACTCCTGTGTAGATAATAATAAATATAATAATATGCCATTTAGCAGACGCTTTTATCCAAAGCGACTTACAGTCATGCGTGCATAAATTTTTTTTTTTGTGAATGGGTGGTCCCGGGGATCGAACCCACTACCTTAGCGTTACAAGCGCCGTGCTCTACCAGCTGAGCTACAGAGGACCACATGATGTGGCCTTGTGTTTTAGGTTATTGTCCTGCCGAAAGCAGACTTAACCAGGTTATCCTCTAGGATTTTGCCTGAACTTATTCAGTTTCTTTTTATCCTGAAAAACTCCCTAGTCCTTGCCGCTGACAAGCATACCCATAACATTATGCAGCCACCACTATGCATGAAAATATGAAGAGTGGTACTCAGTGATGTGTTGTGTTGGATTTGCCCCAAACATAACGCTTTGTATTCAGGACAAAAAAACGAATTTCTTTGCCAATTTGTTTTGCAGTATTACTTAAGTGCCTTGTAAACAGGATGAGTGTTTTGAAATATTTTTATTCTGTACAGGCTTCCTTCTTTTCACTCTGTCATTTAGATTAGTATTGTGGAGTAACTACAATGTTGTTGATCCATGCTCAGTTCTCATATTACAGCCATTAAACTCTGTAACTGATTGCTGGAGTGCTGCAGAGATGGTTGTCCTTCTGGAAGGTTCTCCCATCTCCACAGAGGAACTCTGGAGCTCTGTCAGAGTGACCATCGGGTTCTTGGTCACCTACCTGACCAAGGCCCTTCTCCCCCGATTGCTCAGTTTGGCCGGGCGGCCAGCTCTAGGAAGAGTCTTGGTGCTTCCAAACTTTTTCCATTTAAGAATGATGGAGGCCACTGTATTCTTGGTGACCTTCAATGCTGCAGACATTTTTTGGTACCCTTCCCCAGATCTGTGCCTCGACACAATCCTGTCTCGGAGGTCTACGGACAATTCCTTCGACCTCATGGCTTGGTTTTTGCTCTGACATGCACTGTCAACTGTGGGACCTTATATAGAAAAGTGTGTGCCTTTCCAAATCATGTCCAATCAATTGAATTTACCACAGGTGGACTCCAATCAAGTTGTAGAAACATCTCAAGGATGATCAATAGAAACAGAATGCACCTGAGCTCAATTTCGAGTCTCGTAGCAAAGGGTCTGAATACTTATGCAAATAAGGTATTTCCGTTTTATATTTTTAATACATTTGCTAACATTTCTAAAAACCATTTTTCGCTTTGTGATTATGTACATACAGTACATTCACATACAGTACATATACACACTTACCGATGGCGATGGATCGTCGGTAGAGTCTCTCAGCGTCTTCATACTGGTTCATGTCATAGTTATAGAGAGAGGCCAGATGACCCACAGACAGAGCCACCTCATAGTCCTCCTGCCCCAGCAGCTGCTCCTTGATCTGAATAGCTTTGATGTGCATCTCTTCAGCCTCCTACAACACACACCGTGTTTAAAAATGGTATCGAGAGAGGTAGGATAAGATGATGTAGATGAGAAGTAGCGGTAGAGAAGCTGCTGCCTCCAGGGGCTGCAGCACTTCCCACCGGACACTAGTGTGTGTGTGTGTGTGTGTGTGTGTGTGTGTGTGTGTCTCGCCCCCTCTGACCTTGAACTTCCTCATGGACTGGTAGAGCCGTCCCAGGTTTCCGTAGTGTTTGGCTGTCTGGACGTTGAACTCTCCGAAGGCCTTCTTGGCCAGCTGCAGAGAAGACAGGTGCAGGTCATAGGCCTCCTGCAGCAGGCGCTCCTCTGTCTCCTTGTTGTGGCAGTCGATGGCTATCTCCTCCAGGATCAGAGCTGGGGAGACAGTATATAAAAACTCAGCAAAAAAAAAAAAGAAACGTCCCTTTTTCAGGACCCTGTCTTTCAAAGATAATTCGTAAAAATCCAAATAACTTCACAGATCTTCATTGTAAAGGGTTTAAACACTGTTTCCCCATGCTTGTTCAATGAACCATAAACAATTAATGAACATGCACCTGTGGAACGGTCGTTAAGACACTAACAGTTTACAGACGGTAGGCAATTAAGGTCACAGTTATGAAAACTTAGGACACTAAAAGAGGCCTTTCTACTGACTCTGAAAAACACCAAAAGAAAGATGCCCAGGGTCCCTGCTCATCTGCGTGAACGTGCCTTAGGCATGCTGCAAGGAGGCATGAGGACTGCAGATGTGGCCAGGGCAATAAATTGCAATGTCCGTACTGTGAGACGCCTAAGACAGCGCTACAGGGAGACAGGACGGAGAGCAGTCCGTCCACGTGTAACAACACCTGCACAGGATCGGTACATCCGAACATCACACCTGCGGGACAATTACAGGATGGCAACAACAACTGCCTGAGTTACACCAGGAACGCACAATCCCTCCATCAGTGCTCAGACTGTCCGCAATCGGCTGAGAGAGGCTGGACTGAGGGCTTGTAGGCCTGTTGTAAGGCAGGTCCTCACCAGACATCACCGGCAACAACGTCGTGTATGGGCACAAACCCACCGTCGCTGGACCAGACAGGACTGGCAAAAAGTGCTCTTCACTGACGAGTCACGGTTTTGTCTCACCAGGGGTGATGGTCGGATTCGCGTTTATCGTCGAAGGAATGAGCGTTACACCGAGGCCTGTACTCTGGAGCGGGATCGATTTGGAGGTGGAGGGTCTGTCATAGTCTGGGGCGGTGTGTTACAGCATCATCGGACTGAGCTTGTTGTCATTGCAGGCAATCTCAACGCTGTGCGTTACAGGGAAGACATCCTCCTCCCTCATGTGGTACCCTTCCTGCAGGCTCATCCTGACATGACCCTCCAGCATGACAATGCCACCAGCCATACTGCTTGTTCTGTGCGTGATTTCCTGCAAGACAGGAATGTCAGTGTTCTGCCATGGCCAGCGAAGAGCCCGGATCTCAATCCCATTGAGCACGTCTGGGACCTGTTGGATCGGTGGGTGAGGGCTAGGGCCCAAGTTTGCCACATCACACCACCAACACCCACACAATCTGGCCCTGAGCCAGAAACAGTCAATAACATCTCAATAATCCTACTAGGAAGAGTTGTATTAGAGGAAGTCAGATAGGACCATGCGGTTTCTCCTAATCTCATGACTGACTGTGGTCATAGCCGTGTTACAGAGACACTACATAGCAGTGTTACAGAGACACTACATAGCCGTGTTACAGAGACACTACATAGCAGTGTCACAGAGACACTACATAGCAGTGTCACAGAGACACTACATAGCAGTGTCACAGAGACACTACATAGCAGTGTTACAGAGACAGTGTTACAGAGACACTACATAGCAGTGTTACAGAGACACTACATAGCAGTGTTACAGAGACACTACATAGCCGTGTTACAGAGACACTACATAGCAGTGTTACAGAGACAGTGTTACAGAGACACTACATAGCAGTGTTACAGAGACACTACATAGCAGTGTTACAGAGACAGTACATAGCCGTGTTACAGAGACACTACATAGCCGTGTTACAGAGACACTACATAGCCGTGTTACAGAGACACTACATAGCCGTGTTACAGAGACACTACATAGCAGCGTTACAGAGACACTACATAGCAGCGTTACAGAGACACTACATAGCCGTGTTACAGAGACACTACATAGCCGTGTTACAGAGACACTACATAGCCGTGTTACAGAGACACTACATAGCAGTGTTACAGAGACACTACATAGCAGTGTTACAGAGACACTACATAGCAGCGTTACAGAGACACTACATAGCAGCGTTACAGAGACACTACATAGCAGCGTTACAGAGACACTACATAGCAGCGTTACAGAGACACTACATAGCAGCGTTACAGAGACACTACATAGCAGTGTTAGAGACACTACATAGCAGTGTTACAGAGACACTACATAGCAGTGTTACAGAGACACTATATAGCCGTGTTACAGAGACACTACATAGCCGTGTTACAGAGACACTACATAGCAGCGTTACAGAGACAGTGTTACAGAGGCACTACATAGCAGTATTACAGAGACACTACATAGCAGTGTTACAGAGACACTACATAGCAGTGTTAGAGACACTACATAGCAGTGTTACAGAGACACTACATAGCAGTGTTACAGAGACACTACATAGCAGTGTGATTGACTCAGATGTTCCAGCTAGGAGTGACTCAGCAGTTAGAATGGTGGAATGAATTACCTTTGACCCTCTTGGACGAGGCCAGCAGTAGATGGTCTTCAGGGAGAATGTGAGTTATGATGTCTATGGCACGTTCTGCGTGGAATCTGGAGAAACAAACAGAACGCTTGGGTAAGAGGCTGACACTTAGACACACTGCTCAGAACATAAAGAATCCACAACATTTCAAAGAAAACGGATTACTTTAGGAAGTACTGGGTCTAGGTATTGGAGGTTAGGAAATGGGGCTAACTACAACTGACCAAATCAACAGTAGCAACATACACGTGAAGGGTGGCGCTGGTTTTGCCACACCACAAATGACAGACAAAGCGCTACAACCCTTCCTCTAGTCCTTCTGTCAGCTATATCTTCAGAATGGACTATTCCTAGTTCCTATTCCGTCATAATGCTTCTATTGCTATTACATGGCACATGGCCAGAGCATTACACCTACAGTAACCTTGAATGACTTAAGACTTCACAGTACCAGCAAACTATAGCAGCATGGAAACCACGGAAGTGTTATTCAAGTGTGCGTCCCAAATGGTACACCCTATTACCTTCATAGTTCACCCCTATTCTTGTCAAAAGTAGTGCATTATATTAGGGAATAGGGTGCCATTTAGGATGCAAAAAATAGTATTCTGGCATGTCTAAAAGGGAGTCTAATGTAATTATCTAGCAGGGTCAAACTCAGTCCAGGAATAGCAGAGGGACGAGGATCGGGGGGGGGTGTAGCTACTCACAGCGCGTTGTCAAATTTCCCAGAACTGTACTGGTGTACATAGGAGGAGTAGGCCAGGTCCTCGTGAGCCGTCGCTACGTGGATGTTCTTCCCCCCGAATACAGACTGCCTGATGTCCAGCGCCGTCTGCACACGAGAGAGAAACCAGCATCTGGATGTGTCCCAAATGACGGTCTGTTCTCTATGCAGTGAACTACTTTTGACCATTACGGTCTCACACCAGGGAGCTAACTAATGAGGATTTTAGGGTTGCAAAAAATTCTGGTAACTTTCCCAAAATTCCCAGGTTTTACTGAAATTATTTCCTGCTTTTTCCCCTCCTGATTCCAGGAATTGTCCAACCAGGATTTGGGGAAAATCTGGTAATTTTGGTAAAGTGTTTGTGAAATTTTGCCACCCTAAATGAATGACCCACCTGGTAGATGGCCACTGACTGGCAGATGTTATCTACGTTCAGTAGGTAGAAGCCATAGTCTAGCAGAGCGTCTGAGTATTTGGGATGCTTATGTCCAAAATGCTCCCTGAAATAGAGTGATCCAGGCATGTGAATAATTATAGAGAAATGGAATCAGTGGTTTACCTGTTTATTATTAATAGAGAGATAGAGATATAGATAGAGAGATAGAGAGAAAGAGCGAGAGAGAGAGAGAGAGATAGATAGAATATACTGGATAAAACATTAGGAGCACCTGCCCTTTCCACGACAGACTGACCAGGTGAAAGCTATGATCCCTTATTGATGTCACTTGTTAAATCCACTTCAATCAGTGTAGATGAAGGGGAGGAGACAGGTTAAATAAGGATGTTTAAGCCTTGAGACAATTGAGACATGGATTGTGTATGTGTGCCATTCAGAGGGTGAATGGGCAAGACAAAATATTTAAGTGCCTTTGAACAGGGTGTGGTAGTAGGTGCCAGGCGCACCGGTTTGTGTCAAGACCTGCAACGCTGCTGGGTTTTTCACGATCAACAGTTTCCCGTGTGTATCAAGAATGGTCCACCACCCAAAGGACATCCAGACAAATTGACACAACTGTGGGAAGCATTGGAGTCAACATGGGCCAGCATCCCTGTGGAACGCTTTCGACACCTTGTAGAGTCCATGCCCCGACGAACTGAGGCTGTTCTGAGGGCAAAAGGGGGTCCAACTCAATATTAGGAAGGTGTTCCTATGGTTTGTGTACAGTCGTGGTCAAAGGTTTTGAGAATGGCAATTTGCATATACTCCAGAATGTCATTAAGAGTGATCAGATGAATTGCAATTAATTGCAAAGTCCCTCTTTGCCATGAAAATGAACTTAATCCCAAAAAAACATTTCCACTGCATTTCATCCCTGCCACAAAAGGACCAGCTGACATCATGTCAGTGATTCTCTCGTTAACACAAGTGAGAGTGTCGACGAGGACAAGGCTGGAGATCACTCTGTCATGCTGATTGAGTTAGAATAACAGACTGGAAGCTTTAAAAGGAGGGTGGTGCTTGAAATCATTGTTCTTCCTCTGTTAACCATGGTTACCTGCAAGGAAACACGTGCCGTCATCATTGCTTTGCACAAAAAGGGCTTCACAGGCAAGGATATTGCTGCTATTAAGATTGCACCTAAATCAACCATTTAATCGGATCATCAAGAACTTCAAGGAGAGAGGTTCAATTGTTGTGAAGAAGGCGTCAGGGCGCCCAAGAAAGTCCAGCAAGCGCCAGGACCGTCTCCTAAAGTTGATTCAGCTGCGAGTTCATCTGCACGCACAGGGAGGCGAAGACTTTTGGAGGACAGACAGGGAAGCGAGGAAGCCACTTCTCTCCAGGAAAAACATCAGGGACAGACTGATATTCTGCCAAAGGTACAGGGATTGGACTGCTGAGGACTGGGGTAAAGTCATTTTCTCTGATGAATCCCCTTTCCGATTGTTTGGGGCATCCGGAAAACACCTTGTCCGGAGAAGACAAGGTGAGCGCTACCATCAGTCCTGTGTCATGCCAACAGTAAAGCATCCTGAGACCATTCATGTGTGGGGTTGCTTCTCAGCCAAGGGAGTGGGCTCACTCACAATTTTGCAGAAGAACACAGCCATGAATAAAGAATGGTACCAACACATCCTCCGAGAGCAACTTCTCCCAACCATCCAAGAACAGTTTGGTGACGAACAATGCCTTTTCCAGCATGATGGAGCACCTTGCCATAAGGCAAAAGTGATAACTAAGTGGCTCGGGGAACAAAACATCGACATTTTGGGTCCATGGCCAGGAAACTCCCCAGACCTTAATCCCATTGAGAACTTGTGGTCGATCGTCAAGATGCGGGTGGACAAACAAAAACTCCAAGCATTGATTATGCAAGAATGGGCTGCCATCAGTCAGGATGTGGCCCAGAAGTTAATTGACAGCATGCCAGGGTAGATTGCAGAGGTCTTGAAAAAGAAGGGTCAACACTGAAAATATTGACTCTTTGCATAAACGTAATGTAATTCTCAATAAAAGCCTTTGACACTTATGGAATGATTGTAATTATACTTCAGTATACCATAGTAACATCTGACAAAAATATCTCATAACACTGAAGCAGCGAACTTTGTGAAGACCAATACTTGTGTCATTCTCAAAACTTGACCACGACTGTATATATACTGTATATAACACACCGAGGTGGGCCAACCTATAAAAGGATTTATAAAGGATTAAACAATAGTTTATAAAACAGTTTATTTTAAATGTATAGATAGGTTATAAAGGATACTTTAATGTCAAGTGTTACCATAAAAAGGAGTCTATTAAAAAAAGCAAGTCTTACCGTGCCAGAAAGACGGAGTGTTTGATCAACTGTTCGGCTTTCCTGAACTCCCTCTTCACAACACAGGCCTGTTAAAAGACACACAGCCAAACAGACATCACAAATCACCATTTACGTTTCAAAATGGCAACCTAGTCCCTATAGAGTGCACTACTAGCTCCATGTAGACCCTGTATATCTTTATCTTATCAGACTTGCCACAACTGAAGTTCCTTCTGGAAAAATAAAGTTGTTCTGTTCTGGCTGTTCTCTATATTACCTCCAGAGTTGTTCTGCTGTCGGCCACAGACACAAAGGCCAGAGATGGGAAAACTGCTGTACTGTATGGATACAAGGCTAGTTCCTTGCCGAGAGCAGGGGACGGAGTAGGAGTGATGTTATCCTTTAGCAGACACTAATATTTCCATATCGTCTCAACACCACTGTCTCCATTATATTTCACCTGTGTCCCAAACGGCACCCAAATTCCCTACATGGGGCACTACTTTCGACCAGAGCCTGGTGAAAAAAGTAGTATGCGTCCCAAATGGGCCCTGGTCTAAAGTAGTGCCCCTACGTAGGGAATAGGGTGCCGTTTGGGACACAGCCACCGTCCCCATGACATTTCTGTTACCTTGGAGGCTTGCCTGAGGACGTCCACCACCACTTTGACAGGCAGGCCCTCAGTGATCTCCTTCATGGCCTCTATGCACCAGCTGTATGCCTGACACACAGGAGCAGGAACCAACCAATAGACTCATCATTTACATTTTCGGATCATTTAAAAATAAAAAATAAAAAACGTTTTTCTTCTTCTTAAATTATCCGAAATATTTTCTGTTGAAATAAGAGGAATGTCTACCTCATCGTAGTGACTCTTAGCGAAGAGCAAGGCGCACAGCTCTCCATACAGGGCCGCTTTGTTGGCCTGGTGGCCGTGTTTGGCTAGTTTGTCCATGTAGGACTGGGCCAGCTTGAACGTCTCTTCTCCCTGGTGGTACTTACAGTTCCCATTACGGACATGGAGAAGCCTGAGGAACAAGGACACCACAGAGAAGAGATGAGAGGGGGAAAGAGGCTCCTGTACCTACCCGCAACGAGTCAAATGAAACGGAGCTAGCACTGGTTGGTGCAATAACGCCTTTATTCATAAACTATGACAGACAGCCAGACAGCCAGCCGGCCAGCCAGACCTACCTGACGCAGCACTCCACAGCTCGGTACCAGTGCAGCACCTCGTCGTGGAGCGTACACAGCTGCAGGCACGACAGGAACACCTTCTCTGCATCACAGTACCAGCCTGCGTCAGACAGGAAGCCACCTAGGGACAGAACCGACCGTTCCAACAAAAGAATCAACTGGGTTAACCTCCCAGAAAGGCTCAGACCACAGTATGGCGTGGGCGTTGCAGGTCGTCTTGTTTGCAGTTGCACCGAGTATCTCAGAAGATCGATAAGATAGCCATTTTGTGCGTCCCAAATGGCACCGTATTCCCTATATAGTGCACTACTTTTGCCCAAAAGTGCTATGAGTTCTGGTCAAAAGTAGGTAAAAAGGGTGCTATTTGGGACACAGCCCGAGACATTACAAGCTTGTTCACCTAAAATGAAGCCGAACTGAATGGCCTTCTCTTTGACGTGGGCGTCTGACTCAGCGATGTAGGAGCAGCGGCGACTGAAGGAGTTGGCCAGTACGGAGGCCACCTTCACCCCATGGTCCATCAGTGCCTGGAAACAGTGGTGCAGCAGGTGCCTGGCAGGACGGACAGAGTAGGGAAGGATTTCTAAGCTTTCATTTGACATGTTTAGTTATAGAAGCAGAGGAAAGGCAGAAGGGTCTACGGATGAGTCGCATGTGTGTTGAGAGCGGGGAGTGGTACCACTAAACCATGGCTCTGCCACCCAAAAGCAGAACAGACAGTTTAACACATTAAAACATTGATATGATCAACGTCAATTCCAATTAGAACTGCCATTAGTCTGAAAGGCCCGGGGACATAGTGGTTCAACACCACATGGCAGGGACCTCACGATACGATATTATCACTATACTTAGGTGCCGATGTGACATGTATTTTGCAATTCTCACGATACTTACGATTCTATGTGTATCGCGATTCTCACGATTCTATATGTATTGCGATTCGATACTGTGATTTTATTTGCGATTCGATGTTCCAAACATATTGCTGACCAGATGTCTGCTGCAGAGAGACGACAGGATGAGAAAATGGAAATCATGGAATTAAAGTGCTGAAAACATGTTGGCTCACTACTTAAAAAGAAGATGGAGAACAAGCTATGAGATAACAAATACTGGAGTTTTGGGGTAGGTACAACTGACTAGCGCTAGCTAACGCAAAATGTATTTGTTGTTTTTTACAAATCGTTACTTGGAGTCAAAGTATGGATACAATATCATCTAAAATAATATTGCGATATGTAACTGTTTCGATGTTTCCCCCCCCATCACTAGCGTAAACTGAAGGCCAGGCTGCAATTGCACCCACAGTCATGGGAGACAGGAGTTACCTTTCTAGGGGTGAGTAACACACACACACACACACACACACACACACACACACACACACACACACACTCATACTCATTAGAACACACACACATTCATACCCATTAGAACACACACACACACACATTCATACCCATTAGAACACACACACACACATATTCATACCCATTAGAACACACACAAACGCACTTTCACTCCCTCTTGTCTCACTCTCATTCTCTCTGGCAATAAGCCACTCAGTCACTCCAGCCAGGCAGCATGCGTCTTCAGCAGGTCACCTTTCCTCCACATCATGACGTCAGAGTGATGTTAAGCAGGCCAGGCCAGAGTGTGTGGGGCTGTCAAACTGCAGTGGCCTTAGGTAGGTCATGTCATCACCCTATTCCCTACATAGTGCGCTACTTTTGAAAAGTAGTTCACTGTATAGGGAATAGGGTGCCATTTTAGGCGCAGACCTTGCTTCAGGGGCCGTTGGGGGGGGGGAACCACCTCGGAGACGACACAGTGGGAAGGAAACACTGATGTCTGTGTGCGGGGTTACTACCCATCTAGGCCTCAGTCCATTTGGCGCCTACCTTTTGTCAGAAGCTCGCAGAACTTTGGCAAAAACCTCCAGCTCACAGAACTCCCCTCCCAGCTGGCAGAGCTGGCCCTGTTGGTATAGCTGAGAGCAAGAGACAGAGAGAGAGAGAGGAGAGAGAAACCTTTTGAAACATTCTCGAGTGCAATATTTACTGTTCTAATCTGTTGTGTCTTCTCACTTTTGTTTATTTCACTTGCTTTGGCAATGTAAACATATTTACCATGCCAATAAAGCCCCTTTGAATTGAATTGAGAGAGGAGAGGGATAGGGGGGGAGAGAGTGAGAGAGAGATAGATAGATAGACAGAGAGAGGGGAGGCAGGAAGAGAGGGGGAGGCAGGAAGAGAGGGGGAGGGAGAGAGCGAGAGTGTGAGATAGGGGGGAGAGAGAGTGAGATGGGTGGAGGGGGAGTGAGGGCGGAGTGAGAGATTTTTATTGTTTATTTCACTTTTGTTTACCATCTACTTCACTTGCTTTGGCAATGTTAACATACGTTTCCCATGCCAATAAAGCCCCTAAACTGACCTCAACCCAGTCTCTTAGAGCGTTCAGTCAGTCCACTGACACCCCTATCAGATCACAGCAAAATCACACTCTACTTGAACAGAGCTATGCTCAAATCATGAGGCATCAAAGCCAAAGGAACTGAATCATATTAGGAAATGCTATAGATGGAAACAAAGTAGTGTCGAAACCTACCAAAAAACTATTAGGCAACAACAAATTCCATCCCTTCTAGACAATTTCCTGGACAAAATGTTGCAAAACTTGGCAGTAGAAAACCTAAACAGTACATTTGACCTCTCAGCTTCCCTATCAAATCAAAAAATGTAACCTAAGAAAAGTAACAACAGTGATAAATGGTTTGATGAAGAATGCAAAAACCTAAGAAAGAAATTGAGAAACCTATCCAACCAAAAACATAGAGACCCAGAAAACCTGAGCCTACGCCTTCACTATGGTGAATCACTCAAACAATACAGAAATACACTACGGAAAAAGGAACAGCACGTCAGAAATCAGCTCAATGTAGTTGAAGAATCCATAGAATCTAACCACTTCTGGGAAAATTGGAAAACACTAAACAAACAACACGAAGAGTTATCTATCCAAAACGGAGATGTATGGATAAACCACTTCTCCAATCTTTTTGGCTCTATAACAAAGAACAAACAGCAAAAACATATACATGATCAAATACAAACCTTAGAATCAACTATTAAAGACTACTGGAACCCACTGGATTCTCCAATTACATTGAATTAACTACAGGACAAAATACAAACCCTCCAACCCAAAAAGGCCTGTGGTGTTGATGGTATCCTCAATGAAATGATAAAATATACAGACCACAAATTCCAATTGTCTATCCTTAAACTCTTTAACATCATCCTCAGCTCTTCCCCAATATTTGGAACCAAGGACTGATCACTCCAATCCACAAAAGTGGAGACAAATTTGACCCCAATAACTACCGTGGGATATGCGTCAACAGCAACCTTGGGGAAATCCTATTATTAACAGCAGACTCGTACATTTCCTCACCAAATTACCGTACGACAGACCATGTATTCACCCTGCACACCCTAATTGACAAACAAAACAAAACAAAGGCATAGTCTTCTCATGCTTTGTTGATTGCAAAAAAGCTTTACAAAATGATGGAAAGCGGTGTTGGGGGAAAAACATTCAACATTATAAAATCTATGTACACAAACAAAAAGTGTGCGGTTAAAATTGGCAAAAAACACACACATTTCTTTCCACAGGGCCGGGGGGTGAGACAGGGATGCAGCTTAAGCCCCACCCTCTTCAACATATATATCAACGAATTGGCGAGGGCACTAGAACAGTCTGCAGCACCCGGCCTCACCCTACTAGAATCTGAAGTCAAATGTCTACTGTTTGCTGATGATCTGGTGCTTGTCACCAACCAAAGAGGGCCTTCAGCAGCACCTAGATCTTCTGCACAGATTCTGTCAGACCTGGGCCCTGACAGTAAATCTCAGTAAGACAAAAATAACAGTGTTCCAAAAAAGGTCCAGTTGCCAGGACCATAAATACAAATTCAATTTAGACACAGTTGCCCTAGAGCACACAAAAAAAACTATACCTTCCTCGGCCTAAACATCAGCGCCACAGGTAACTTCCACAAAGCTGTGAACTATCTGAGAGACAAGGCAAGAAGGGCCTTCTACACCATCAAAAGGAACATAAAATTTGACATACCAATTTGGATCTGGCTAAAAATACTTGAATCAGTTATAAAACCCCATCGCCCTTTATAGTTGTGAGGTCTGGGGTCCGCTCACCAACCAACAATTAACAAAATGGGACAAACACCAAATTGAGAGTCTACATGCAGAATTCTGCAAAAATATCATCAGTGTACAACGTAAAACACCAAATAATGCATGCAGAGCAGAATTAGGCCGATACCCGCTAATTATCAAAATCCAGAAAATAGCTGTTAAAACCACCTAAAAGGAAGTGATTCCCAAACAAAGCCATCACTTACAGAGAGATGAACCTGGAGAAGAGTCCCCTAAGCAAGCTGGTCCTGGGGCTCTGTTCACAAACAAACAGAGCCCCAGGATAGCAACACATTTAGACCCAACCAAATCATGAGAAAACAAAAAGATAATTACTTGACACATTGGAAAGAATTAACAAAAAAAACTGAGCAAACTAGAATACTAGAATGCTGCCTGAACGAGTCTGAATTTCAAGTATTTCTTTGAACAACCATAAGTTGTTTTTCAGAAGCTTTACCTTGTGGTTAGCTGTCTGTCTCTAGCCCTATAACTACTAGTATAGATCTACTGTGGTTAGCTGTCTGTCTCTAGCCCTATAACTACTAGTATAGATCTACTGTGGTTAGCTGTCTGTCTCTAGCCCTATAACTACTAGTATAGATCTACTGTGGTTAGCTGTCTGTCTCTAGCCCTATAACTACTAGTATAGATCTACTGTGGTTAGCTGTCTGTCTCTAGCCCTATAACTACTAGTATAGATCTACTGTGGTTAGCTGTCTGTCTCTAGCCCTATAACTACTAGTATAGATCTACTGTGGTTAGCTGTCTGTCTCTAGCCCTATAACTACTAGTATAGATCTACTGTGGTTAGCTGTCTGTCTCTAGCCCTATAACTACTAGTATAGATCTACTGTGGTTAGCTGTCTGTCTCTAGCCCTATAACTACTAGTATAGATCTACTGTGGTTAGCTGTCTGTCTCTAGCCCTATAACTACTAGTATAGATCTACTGTGGTTAGCTGTCTGTCTCTAGCCCTATAACTACTAGTATAGATCTACTGTGGTTAGCTGTCTGTCTCTAGCCCTATAACTACTAGTATAGATCTACTGTGGTTAGCTGTCTGTCTCTAGCCCTATAACTACTAGTATAGATCTACTGTGGTTAGCTGTCTGTCTCTAGCCCTATAACTACTAGTATAGCTCTACTGTGGTTAGCTGTCTGTCTCTAGCCCTATAACTACTAGTATAGATCTACTGTGGTTAGCTGTCTGTCTCTAGCTCTATAACTACTAGTATAGATCTACTGTGGTTAGCTGTCTGTCTCTAGCCCTATAACTACTAGTATAGATCTACTGTGGTTAGCTGTCTGTCTCTAGCCCTATAACTACTAGTATAGATCTACTGTGGTTAGCTGTCTGTCTCTAGCCCTATAACTAC